ATAGAATTTACATAAACATTATTCAACTATTTACAATTGGGATTTACTAATTAAATTAGCGGCAGTCATATAATAGTTCCAAATTATTTCTAAGCATAACTCATAAATTCCTTCTTGTAATAACATAAAAATATCATGGACACTACACATGCACTCCCTTTTCCACAAAAAGATAAAATTACCCCCCTACACTCCCTATCCCCCCACTACACTACAACTTTCACCATCACTTCACTGTAGAAGGGGCCATGACAGATAATAATTATGACAATAATATAATAAAAGTAATAATAGGTAATTCAATAATTACATAATAATAATAATAATAATTAATGAATAATAATAAAGATAACATGTCTCAGTCAGTATTATTCGAGTGATCTAGATGGAATGAACTAATATTTAAATTTGCTACATTAGGAGGAAGAGCATCTGCAGAGGGTCTGCAGGTAATTATTCCATATTACTATAGTGCGATCACAAAGAACTTGCCTACATTCAGTTCTTTTGCTTGCTACATCGTATTTTCCAAAGGATGTCTCCTTCTCGCTTTTATAATCATGATTTCTGTAATCATTACCGAATATCTGCCCATTGCTGGGTCTCCCTCTGTATGTCTTATACATACGCCATAACGCGCCCGTTCCCTTCGCTTAGATAAGGACTCCCATTCTTCTCGTTCTCACCAACGCACCGTGATTGTTAAAACTTTGAGGCCCGTTCTGAATTTTAATCTAACGCTTCGATTTGCCTTTTCTGTACGGGTCCCAGCATGCCGACTCCGTATTCTAAAAATTGAAAACGAACAAGTGTAGTAATATGCTAGGGATCGGCATTTTGGACTACTATTTTTTAGAATACGCATTACAAAGAGCAGCGCTCTCCAGTATTTTTTAACCGTATTGTTTAATATGATCCCGAACCAACCTAAGTCGCTTCGCAGGACCAAAACCCAATAACTTACAGTTTTTTACACGTGTATAACTTTTATTCCTAATTCATAAACTGGAGCGACGTTCGAGCGGGACTTGTAAGCAACATGAATTTACTCTTATTCCGGAATTTAATTTCCATACTATTTCTGCACGCCCAGATTTCCATAAACAGTTAAAGTCGCTCTGTAAAACATTTTCGTCCTCAGACGAGCCAAATACTCCATATATTCATGCAATCGTCTGGCGAATAGTCTAACTTTGATTTTAATCCAGTTGCAATGTCGTTAATAAACGCTAAGAATAGCAAAGGCCCTAACACACTCCCCTGGGGCCCCCGAGTTTTACAACGGTATTCGATGAATATTTGTCTTCTCTATTCTGACTGTTTGAGTCGTTCCCCGTAAGAAATTCTTTTAATCCACAGGATATTCGATGATCTATTTCCGTTTCCGAACAATTTGGAAATAAAAGGCCATTGTGGAACAAGATCAGAATGCCTTAGAAAAAATCTTAATATTTATTGCGTCGAACCCTAAACTCCCTTTTCGTCTAACTTCACTAACTAATAAAATTATAGCAAATACGTATCGTTTAGAGATGAGTGGCCTGGACACAAATAAAAGCACAATATACAGGTTGTGTCTCGAGTCCGTGAGATTTTGTGCGAATGCATTGATGTTTTCCTTTCGTACACGGATGCTCCGATACATCGATGCAAAAGCACCAAGTGACGTCGCACCTCTGAACCCGCGCAGCCGCCTGCGCGATGTGAGCCGTGAGTCACCGCGCGAAGTGTGGGAGCAGCGGCGTGTGCACTCACCGGCCGTTCTTGGTGACGATCATCTCGTTGGTGAGGCTCTGGAACTTGGTCCAGAGGTCGCGCTCGTCCAGCGCCACGACGAGGTCTCTCTCGGAGGGGTCGCCCTTGCCGCGGCCCGCGGCCAGCTCGCGCTCCACCGCCGACAGGATGTTGGACTGCGCCATCGCAGCGCGCCCGCCCGCGCAGCAGCCGGCCACGCGCGCCTGCCGCACGCCACACGCAGCAGTTGTACATTCAAGTAGTTATCATGAACGCGCACTAAACTTAATGCACACAACTATGTTAGCATGCAAGAGTCAGAGCTTTATGGTCTTATCTGGAAAGAATGAATGATCTTTATGGTCTATTGATTATGAATACATGAGATGAATTATATGAGGGAGAACCTTTACATTAAGTACACACACACACACACACACACACACACACACACACACACACACACACATATATATATATATATATATATATATATATATATATAGTAACTTAAGCATTAAATTTAATGTACAAATACATTAAGCTGTTTTAACATACAAATATATTAATCTCTTTTTAATGCACAAAGTTACATTAATCAGTTTCATGCACTATACATTAATCTACATTAAATGTAATGACATTTCTGACAGTGCACACACAATAGGATAGCACGGGTTTTTATAAACTGATCTATTCATTAATTTGTTAGTAATTCCGGGCTCGTCAACGGCTAAGGCCATAGGTCCCGAAAGTGTAGGGCATGTTTTTTTCGCGGTTATCTTCTCCCGCTAAATGGCCAGAACAGGTGCCGACCTACACCGACAGTGGCTTTTTTCGTCCAACCAGGTGTCTCCCAACAACGGGGCAGTGACTTAGTCGAGACACGCTCTAAGCCCCCGACTGGCTTCCCGGTGTGTTTGGTAGTGTAGTGTATGTGTAAGGGGCTCCGGTGTTCACCTGGTGTTGATCGGAGAAACCACGAAAAAATACCGATAAGAGCAGCCGACCGCTAGAATTCTCCAGACTGCGGCTGTATTCGATTTAGTTATCTAGATAGTATCGGAAATCCTTCGACTCGAACCCGATGACTGCCGGGTCAGAGGCACTGCAGTGGCATCAATTGATGCCCTGAACCACTTAAATCGGTTTATAACACAAACGCCTATTATCTCGGTCCCTTAGAACCGTGTCCACAAGCGATTTCTGTATTTTATTAAAAATGTGACACTTGGCGTTTCTGTTTCTTTTCAAGTTGTGTTACATCTGTTGCTTTCAGTTCCGTCTAGGAAAACCAAATTGAGAGTAGCTCCCTTCCCGACAGCAGTATTGAGCGCACATGGTAACTGAGAGGATGGGGCTGTGCAGCTACCCCGGAAAGAGCTCTCGGTCTCCAGAGCAAAAAGCGTCAGTTTTAGGTTATGGCGAGAGCAATTACGGATGTGAGAAGAACTAAGTGAATTTGCGCGAGTGCGAGAGAAAATGAAACTAAATAAATAATTCACTAAAAACTATAAATGACAATTAAAAATATAAACAACTCTCATAACCTGTGGAATATGACAAAAAGCTACTCCGTAGATCGCGTAGGTCGTCATTGCAACCCATGCCAATGATTGATTGATGATTCCGGGCACGTCTATATCTAAGGTCATTAGACCCGTAAATGTAGTGCATGCTTTTTTCTCGTGAGGTGGCGGTGATCTTCGCTTGCTAAATAATGAGATCCGGCGCGAATCTTTTGTCAGCTAACGGGATTTTGTCCAACCAGGTATCTTCCACAAGCGGGGCACAGCACCAGACGGGACACGATCTAAGCTCCCGACCGGTCTCCCGACTTGTGTGGTAATGTAGTGCATGGTAGTGTGGGTGGGTGAAAGTAAGAAGTGAAGATAGGATAAGGTGGAGGACGGAAAGATCGGGCGATGTTCGTGTCCCGTTTTTTAAGATACTGCTTCGGCATTCGCCAGGAATTGATTGGAGAAACCACGAAAAAATACCGATCAGAGCAGCCGATTGCTATAATACTCCCCCTGTCAGTAACTGAACTTTACGTAGCTACCTAGCTAGTGTCGAAAATATTGCGACCGACAGGGCTCAAACCTAGGACCTCTCAGTCAGAGGCACCGCAGTGACAATAGTTGATACCCTGAGCAAAATCTCCCGGTCAGCACATACCAGCTTTTAGGAGATTTTCAGGCTGGCTTCAAGTGCTTCAAATGCTGTGCCGCAGACGGCTGCCATGTGCTCGGTGCGTGCCGTATAACGGTCGCTGTTTCAAGGAACCCGGGCCTTTTGGCGGCGGTGGAGGGGGGATTGAAAAAGCGAGTGGAACGGGGCGCGGCGCGCGCGGGGGCGGGCAGCGTTCGTTCCCCCGACAGAGAAGGGAATCCGTTTCCCGCAGCGGCGTAAGCTCCATAGGGACCGACAGGACAATGTCCGGGTGCCCCTGCAATTTAGGTTCGTTTTCTTCACTCTTTTTGTGGCTAAATTTCACTTTCCAAACTTGGGATAATTCTATTGCATTATTTTCAAATCATCTTAGTGATTCCGAACCCATTTCAAGTCATCGTAAGCTCCTCAGAGTAAATTCTGCGCAATTTACAAATCCAAATTGGAGCTTTAAAGGTATTTCCAAACAGTGTTAGTTGATGTTAGAATTGTAAAATGTAGTGGTACATGAGAAAGAAATTAAAAATGTTCGATTTATTTGTTCAAGTTTCGAGATTTATTTGCTTCAGGCATTTTGTTGTAAAATGAAAATTTTGCTAAATACGGCAAAATATTAAAATAACGAAATATTATAGCGAAATAAATAGCTTTTAAGGAATGGTTCTCGATGTCCATCTTGTAGAACAAAGTTTTTATGTAATGCTTTTTATTTTCGTAAATCCGTCACTGTTAATAATACTATGATTCATTGATTAATCCTATGACCAAGTAAAACATAAATTCCCTAGTAACAGTAAAATGTCGGACCTTCTAATATCACAAACAAAGCATTATTAGGTACAAGATTTAAATTATGAGCAGTATAATGCTCAAACAATGCATTGTCAAATTTATCTATTTTTTAACACCATTGTTTATTTCACTCATAACTGCTGCGCTATCATATTCTTGACCTCTACATTTAAATAAACAAATGCCTTCTTCTTTTATGCATTCAACAATTTCGAAGTGCAACCCTTGTTCTGAATGATCTTCTACATTCTTAAATGTTGTGAAAGATTGATTAATTTTTATTTCAATCGGTTTCCCAGATTTATTTTTCTCGATGGTTGCATATCGTAATATTTAACTTTTGATACGTCTTGCATTGCGCCCATTATAATAGAAAAAAAACGGTGCTTTATTTATTTCTTCTATGATTTTATCAGACATGGTTTAAGATAAAAGACTTGTTATTTCGTTTTGATTTTGGGAACCTAATTTCCGAACTTTGAGAAGATCAATGACTCACTGATTGAAGATGCCTCGATATTGCCTTTAAATAGTAGGAGCGACGATTTTTTGGATTGAAATACACAATGACAATTTTCAAAGTAATTCAGCCATAAGTTTTGATAGCTCTCTTTGAACGATCAAACTTACGAAGAAGTTCACTAACTTCAATCAAAATACCCTGCAGATGTTACTGAAATCTTGTCGTCTCAGTTATTGTTTTGCGCATTTGTTTAAACAGTCAAAATTCAAAACTAGGATCTGTAAAAGATCTTGCAAATGTTTCAAAATTTGAGCATTGCTTATTATTAACACGATTTCTCGATGTGTGAATCAATACAGTATTCGCATTAATTCTGAAACTTCCTGTCTGGGTCGCCAGCGCCGAAGGAATGTTTTTAAAATTAAAGCCGATTAAACATTATTTACGAAGTACAATGGCCTAAGGCCGCCTGTGTAATTTAAGTGTTTTATCCGTTGAGCACGAAAATAACAATGTTGAGAAATAATATTTTTACTGTCATTGATAAATTGGGACGAAAATACCCAAATTTCCATTGTAAAATGTACCACGACATTGAAGAAATGATAATTTATTTTCTGTAATAATTTGTTCTAAAATTCAGTTTATAATCAGAAAATTAAATTAATGACTTGTCTTTAATTAAGGGGCCCCAGTATTTAGTCGATCCAAAGGCCTTCTATGTTGAACTTACGCCACTGAGCCTCTGACTCCATGCGAGTACATTCGCACCTGCGCACGCGCTTTAAACGGGCCACGGACCGCGCGCGTTGTTTCCTTCCTCTTCCTTGTCCTACCCTCACCCCTTACTCACACTAACATGCACCACACTGCGGGGAGACCTGTCGGGAGCTTAAAGCTTGTCTCGGATGGGTCGGTGCCCCGCTAGTGGGAGATACCCGTTAGGGGAAAACTGTAGATCGTCGCCGGATCTCGCCACCTAGCGGGGGAAGATCACCGCCAGCTTCTCAGGAAAAACATGCACTCTGTACGAGACTAATGACCTTAGCAGTTTACGTGCCCGGAATCACTAACTATGAATCAACACACGCTTTGCAATCTAATTACGCTGCTCAAACAATACATTTACTAAAACCCTGTAATATTTAAGTAGTATATTACAATAAAATTTCAGTTAAATATTTAAGATTATGTTTAGGGCAAGGACATAGTCTGATATCTTACATTTAAATCATTGATAAAACTTTTCCAATGTTTCCATATTATATCCGGTAGTTAATGCTAGTTGTAAATTACGAAGTGATTGTGTTAGATTAATCTATAATTAGTACTTCTCTTTCATACGCCTACGATACTTGCTTGTACACTATTTCTAATAAATTTCAAATAGTTAAAGTTCAAACTAGTTTTTTTCAGAAAATATTAAATGCACAATGACTCGTTTTAAATAAACAGATTCCCAAAGAACTGCAAATTGACTCAGTTAAATCTTTTATTCTTAATAGAAAACTTTTATAACATTTCGCTTGCATCTAGAAATTTTACTTTATAACAAAATTATCTTCCAAATCCTGGGATTCGTTCTCATTTCTGTAAACATTTCCCATCCTTCCTAACCT